ATTACAATAGTCTAGCACGTTATGTCCGGGCGTGAAGACAAGTGCTTTGACTCGCTCTTGGTTCGCAACTTCTTTTAAAAAAGGGATTCTGTCCACGAGGCTGACCGTGCTCACTACACTGTGCTATAGAAGTTGCAAAGCTTCTGTTTGTAAGTCAACATTTGATACTTACGGCTTCAGTTATCGGCACATACCTTGTCGCACCGGGTGTTCTACCGTATGTCCTGCAATATCAGCGCAAAATTAGAATTTCAGGATTCTGCATGCCGTAATTTTTCGTTTTTTGGGAGCAGAGGTTTTCGAATTTGAATTTCTCTATCTATCGTTATGGGTTTTTAACCGCGGTTTCACTATTAAACAAATAAGCCTCTTCTTTACATGCGTTCGGAAGCTGCATTAGTGATTCCTACGCCTTCCCTTACCCATTAAAAGACGAAACGAGCATCATTTATTTGCAAGTCATCTAAAATATTGCCTAGGCTACATTCTCGTTAATATAATATTTCTCAAAGCAGTAGTTTAGTCACTTTGATGACACAAAAGACCACAAAAAAAATCTGTCGAAATTCGGCTAAGATAATATGTTTTCCTCATTATTGCCTCATTTTTTCAAATTATACTACTTAAATTTGGCTGAGTTTTTGCATTTTTACTTCGATTTTCCGCATTTTCCTCTCAGGCGTTTGTTCAATTGAAATATAATCTAAGGAACATTCTATGAAAGGGATGTCATCGTACTGTTGTGCCACAATTTCGTAATTTCATGAAGATAACAGGACTCACCCTGAAATGGACTGTGTTACAGATTCAGGAGGCATTTTGCTTCGGCTCACTCCATATGGTTTAGGTGATTGCACATAAGTGCGTGCCGCATTTGGTCTTACTTCAACTTCGATCTGAAAAAGAGCTGTTTCTCAAGCAGTGTATGGAAACTCCTACCATCAACAGTCCTGGCCGGACTTCTGGTTTGCAGTGGAAAAGCACCTTCAGTGCGGTCACGGAATTTACGTGTTTTTGCATGTACATGCGTCTACGTGTGCTTGTGTGTGTGTGTCTGCGTGAAGGTGTGTGTTTGCATGCGGGTGTCTGTCTGCATGCGGGTGTGTGTGTTTGGCATTCAACGCTTTTTTTTCCAAAATATTTTTTTTTTTTTTTGGATATTTACAAGGCTGTTAGCTATTACCAAATAAGCAAGTAGGATGATCGGTGTCATTGGTCCCTGGGCAGTAACACGAAGCATTTGTTGCGTCTTAATATCACAGCCTTGTTCCAACAGATTGTCTTGTCCACTCACTTTCCACATTTTATTCTGGATTACAGCGTGCACTACCCATTTGTTTTGTGTTGACTGGAAAAATTTTCTTATCAAGAATTCTTGCTACAGCAATTACGCTTAACCTATTTAGAAAATATCAACATTTTGCTTTAAAAAAGAGTACTTGACAAACCAAGATTTGCGATCGGTCATAAAAATTTTCATTCTTTGGAAATAACGACGTAAATTGAAGCGTTGGAACGGAAACAGGAAGATTAAAAAGATTGTCGGATGATACTCAAATAATATGAATTAAATACAAAGAAAGTCAGAGAATTAAATGCAATACCCCCTTTGAGCTCGGCTCGAACTCCTGCAATTTGGAGCTACGCAATTACGCCAAGCTCAGACAGATAGAGAAGGATGGAGAAGTTACCAGTTGCATCTCTAACAAGAAAAAAATGACTAAGAAATATGGAGCTGATCAGAAGGTCACTGTGTAAAACTTATAAAATGCATAAAATTCAAAAATACAAATTTCCTTTCGTATCTAGGTCGGGAACAGCTTACGATCTCTTTCTCATTAAACTGTTTGTGGTCTCAAATCTCAAATTTAAAATAAAAGTTTTGATACAGTTTGTTTTCACTTTTTTAAAACTTGAA